AGAGGCGCTCGCTTTCTCAAAAGCTGGGCTGCTCAGAGACCACGAGGGCCGATCTCAGAAATCGAAGAGGCACCTTCTTTTCTAGCCTTGTCAGCACCTGTCACACGCACACTCAGCTTTGCGGAAATTATGGGCATTCTGTCGAAGACTTCTGGTGAAGTAGAAAGCACATGAATCTTACTGTTCAATCACCCACTTCCCACACGCAACAATAGCTCATGGGTACCACAGATAACTTTGTCAAAGTCTCTGCCAAAGTTGAGCACGTGAAGCTTGCAGCTCCCACTACATCGCTCTGACCAAGAAAGGTAAAAGAATAGCAAAGAAAGCACTAACAAAGTTTAGACACATAAATTTTGAAGGTCTAGCTACCATATTATTACCCACAAGGGTAAAGGAACAGTACCACTGCTGGATAATTGGAAAGTCCCTGTGTGTCAACCTCCGTGCTTCGTGGCAAGGTAGACTAGCAAACATGCCCAACCTTTACTCACATCCGAGAAAACACTCCCAACAAGATTGCTTACTCCAAAATCGAAGAGGCACCGCCTTCCGAATCTCGAGAGCCAGACTCCCAACATGATTACTTTCTCAAAAATCGAAGAGACACTGCTCCCCGAATCTCGAGAGCCAGACCCCCACCATGATTGCTTTCTCAAAAATCGAAGAAGCATTGTTCTCCGAATCTCGAGAGCCAGATACCACATACCACTTTTTCAAAGTGCTCTGACAGAGTTAAAACATGTGAAGCTGGCAGCTCCCACTACCGTGCTATGACCAAGCAGGGTAAAGGAATAGCATTACTACTTGTTGTTAGGGAGACTCCTATATATGTCGACCTCCATCCCCAACGGACAGGTAGACCTGCAAAAATGCTCAACCCTTCCTCACATCTGAGAGGGCACTCCCAACGAAGCCTTTCGAAATATTCAGCTTTCTTTCCCCCCGATAATACCTCTGCAAACAAGCTATACTAGAGCAAGAATATCTCATATCATCAGGGTTAAAAGCAAGAGTATCCCATATCATGCTTTTTCCCTGTCTTTTCCTTTGGCCTTGTTTTTACCTGCAAGACAAGGAGAAAGAGAGCAATCAGTCAGCACTTGAAATCAAGCTCCCAGCCAGGAACTGACAGCCTGGAACCCCTTACCTGATTACTTACCTGGCATTGCTCTCGAGTACTCATCTTCAACATCTTATATTGCCAGGGAAGATACCGCATCTGCTTGAGGAACAGATAGGGCAAGTGCGAAGGATACAAGGAAGCATGTGGAGACAAGCGTAACAGCACACGTGCCGATCCATCCATTACTCTGTCAAAAGCAAAAGTATCCCATATCAGCAGGGTCGAACGTACTCTAAATTTGATGGACTTGTTTTGACCCTCAAATTCTTCAGTCGGCCTTATACCCTGGAGGAAACCAGAAAACCCTCCAGCTCAGTTCAAGAATAAGCCTGTGGAAAGTTACTTCTTCAAAAGCAAAAGTATCCCATATCATCTCTTCTCATTTTTCTTCTCTTTATCCTTCATCATGCTGCTGCAAGATGGGGAGAAGGTGAACAATCAGCCGGAGCTCTGATTGCTTACCTTGTCTGTCACCTCTTTCAGCAAATCCCCTAGCTCGGCGACTTGGGGGACTCCTACTACATGGTTTGTATCGCGCTTGACCAAGCCTGAAACTACAAGTAAGCTTCAAGTGAAATTGATACATTACCTTGTGCATCTCCACCAGTTAAAGATACCACCCCTGGATGGAGGAAGAGTACTTCCAGAGAAGCTGCCACATCTACCTATGAGACAGATAAGGCAAGTCAAGATGATACCACACACTCCGATACTTAGAAGTTTCGTGATTACGAGATCATTCTCCCACAATATTTCCTAATGTCATTTGTACTCTAATGTCATTTGTACTAAATCATTCACTTGTACTCACTAAAGGAGAGCTTGAACCTATGTACTTGTGTAAAACCCTTCACAATTAATGAGAACTCTTCTATTCCGTGGACGTAGCCAATCTGGGTGAACCACGTACATCTTGTGTTTGCTTTCCTATCTCTATCCATTTATATACTTATCCACACTAATGACCGGAGCAATTTAGCGAAGATCACAAAAAGCGACCGTTTTCGCTACCTAGGATCTATCTTACAAGAGAACGGAGAATTAGATGGAGATCTCAACCATAGAATACGAGCTGGATGGATGAAGTGTAAGAGTGCATCCAGCATGTTGTGTGACCGTCGTAGGCCACTGAAGCTCAAGGGAAAATTTTATAAGACGGCAATAAGGCCAGCGATGTTGTATGGCACAGAATGTTGGGCGGTGAAACATCAACACGTACACAAAATGGGTGTAGCAGAGATGAGGATGCTTCGTGGGATGTGTGGGCACACGAGAAAGGATAAGATTGAGAATGAGGATATCCGAGGTAAAGTAGGAGTAGCCGAAATTGAAGGAAAGATGAGAGAAAATCGGTTCCGGTGATTTGGACATGTGCAAAGAAGGCCGACTGACGCTCCGGTTCGAAGATGTGACTACGGGACAGAGGTTCAGGGCCGAAGGGGTAGAGGAAGACCTAGGAAAACTTTGGAAGAGACTCTAAGAAAAGGCTTAGAGTACTTGGATCTAACGGAGGACATGACACAAACCGAGCGCAATGGCGTTCTAGGATTCATATAGCCGACCCCACTTAGTGGGAAAAGGCTTTGTTGTTGTTGTTGTTGTTGTTGTTGTTGTTACAATAGAGGGAAGCGAACCCGTTGCCTACCCTTATCCTAATCAATTTTCCAACAACTCTCACTACTTGAGCTAACCCGAAGGGTGATCGTAATTACTTAATAAAAGGAAAAAAAATAAACAGGAAAAACGAATTCACGAAATTACTACAAAGCTTATTTTATTACTTGGTTCACAAGGCATACATGCCATCAATACAGATTACAAAGAGTACACTTCCATGTCTTACCATGAAACTAAACAGAAGCAGAAACACACAAACAGATAGAGTGGCTAGGTTATACCGATCCAACAGAAGAAAATGACGCAAGAAACGCATACAACGAAGCAGAAGCATAAAGTCTTAATTAGCATCACATATTTTACTTGTAGGAATATTTGTCCTTGGGCTTTGAACTCTCCGTCAAGTAGTGCAGGGCTCTCTCCATGTCATCCATTGGCATGCTGAGCCTGCCATCCCCTCGAACTGGACGTGCAGCCGCCAGTAGTGATCCACGGTTTGGCTTAGCGCTGTGGCCACTAGCGTTAGCTATCATGTTAATTGCTGTTCCCATGGCACCACCGTTATGTTTGCGGTTGTGTGGGTTGTCATCATAGTTGTCGTACCTAGCGGTGTTGGAATGTTTGTACGGCTTGTTGGTGCCGTACTGATCACTGTAATCACCATATCCTGGAGGCCTATTGTATCCACTTTGATTAGGGTAGCTGCCATAAGTTCTTGCTGGCTCAAAGGTCTGTCGTGGAGGGCTCGAAGGCCTGATACTCCAGTTGTCTCCGGTGGCAGCATAGCCGTAATTTCCACCTGGGGGAGAGCCATGCCTGTATGAAGTTAACAAAGGTGAGTCAACACGTTCAGTAATAATCGTCTCCTGTTTTGTAACGTAGCTCCCAGCAGGTTGTGCAATGGTTGTGCGTCGAGTTCGGTCAGCATCACCTATAGTTGTGCGGAACTCGTCGGTTTCAGCGTACCTTGTTTGGCCCCACTCGTTGGTGTACGGTCTTACCCCGTTGCTTCCGGTGGTGTAGGCTGGTCCGGTGGAGTAGGCGGGTCCGGTGGAGTAAGCTGGTCCGGTGGAGTAGCCTTGTCCGGTGGAGTAAGCTGGTCCGGTAGAGTAGCCTGGTCCATGACGGTAGCTAGTCATTGCTTCAAGTTTGGAAGTACCTGTGTGAATTTTTTTTCTTCTGATTACTTGGATTGTCGAAGCTTTTATATATGTATATATATATGTGTGTGTGTGTGTGTGTGTGTGTGTGTGTGTGTTGGACAGACACTTCCAAGATTCCATTCAAATTATTCCATCGCAAAACTGTTAAAGAATCATATTCTGTTGACCCATAGATTGTGACCCCCCATTAACTTCCCTTGAAAAAAAAGGGAGAGATGGGTAGCAAAACTTGGTTGGACACCCATATCACCAATAAGAACTTACATGTTACTAGGACGTCAATGTGACATATTCCAAATTAATCACACAACACGATATAAACAAGTTAAAAACATATGGTGACACATGACAAACTTAAAATACTAACACATTTGCGTCTTAGTTGCATGTAAGTCTCTCTCGATATCATCATACTCAGAAGTTGGAACTTTTGGCCTTAATACTCTTCCCCTGAAGAGAAACATCAAGAATCAAAGCTTAACCCTTTTGCCCAAATGCAGATTCTCTGCCTTATCAAATTATCTCAAAGTATCTGCAGAATCATGTTCTGAGTTCCAAAGGCACTCAACTTAATTCTCTCATTTTTTAAGTCTAAGATGAAGGAGAATATAGGGGAAAAAAGGCAACTACTTTACATCCTTTAGAGATATTATTCAGTACTTTCATTTCCTGTTGGGTATACAAATCTGAGAGATATTATTCAGTACTTTCATTTCCTGTTGGTTATACAAATTCCGACACACCCAAAAAAGAAAAATAGCATATATTTCCATCTCGAGAACTTACATGCAATCAGGATATCAAAGTGGCAATATTCTAGGTCAATCAAACATTGTCATGTGGATGTGGGCAAAGTAACACACATGGCGACGCTTGATAGGCCTAGGATACTGCTATCTTCGATCTCAAACAGAAGGTTAGCGTGTTCCTGCTACTTACATATGCTAAAATCTGACCCAAATTTTTTCAAATAATCTTCAATTCTGGGACTGATTTTTCATCCCCGGAGAAGAAATCAAATATCCCAGTTTCAGTAGTAAATCTATAAGAACTTGTTCATCACGCGAATTATGATTTCCAACGGATAATATCACTACGAAAAATGAGAATCATAAAATTCCTCTTGTTTCTTCTCAGAGATTCAGACCCCAATTTCAAGTTTTCTTGCGACACAAGATTCGGCAGAGGGAAAAAGACAGAAGATGCTTTTCTTTATTACACAAACATCTTCCACGGAAAAATATTTACACTATAAACAAGAAGAACGTATCCAACAAAATCAAATTTTCAAGGCTCAAATGTTGGAACTTCCTCTAGATGGTGATACATTGCCCGATATATTGTTCTGTCGAAAACATTCCTGTAAGGATCCTCCTCCCGCTTTTTAATTAAGTACGCTAAACTGTTTTCAATGTCTGATTGTATCTGCAGGTACAATTCCTTTGCGTTTTCTTTGTCTTTCAGGATCTCTTTCTTTCCCTTTGTTTCGATGGGCTTCCCAAACAAACAGTAATACCGTCCTGGTATCTTCGGTAGAATCCCTGGAAAAAAGGGTTGTACGTTGGCAACCTCCCCACTCGACTCATCCCTATAAACCAGAAAACCTTAAAACTCAGTCTAACAATTTGAGACCATTAAGATTTAGAGTTGGGAGAACACGAAAACAATAAGACGGAGGATAATTACCTTATTTTTATAGATTCAAGATTAGCGTCTTTGAGATAGTTACTCACCACTGGGATATTCATTAGGTCCTTGTGGTCAAGAACCAACTGCCAGATCCAACATAAGAACCGAAATATAATGTTAACTGAAAGTTAAGCTCAAAAGTAAAAGGAAGGCATGGCATTGTGACATTATCTGTTTTCCGAAAAGGAAAAAACAAAGAGTGGTATCGGAAGAAAATAATTATAAGGCGTGTAAGTATTGAAAGCTATAGGCGACCGAGATTTCATAAACTTATCATACGCTATGAAAAGAGGTGCATATTTTGCTAAGAAAACTTTTGGGAAGAACAGTAACACAAGCTTACTTCTAGCATGTCATCTTCTCCTACAGCCGCAAATGGTACAATTGTGGCCCCAAAGTGTGCAGCCATTCTCACAAATTCGGGTTGGTCAGGCCAGAATAACTTGTATTCTTCACCCTGCCAATTATAGAAACACCAAAAGGCATGGGAAACCAAAACTATAACAGATAAATTACCAACAAGAATGAAGTGTGTTTGTAAAATCCATTGCACACGCATTTAAAACATACAAAATGCCAGATCGAAAACTAAGTTCTTGGAATCTTGGCTCACCTTGTTATGGAGAGACTCACGTGCACCACCAGGATAGAGCAGAACATGAGATTTTATTGCAAGCAATTTGAACAGGTTTTTTGCTGCGACAGGTACTGCGCCGAATAGTTTGAGAAAGTCAAATTGGGCCAAGTTCCCGTACTTGCCCCAAAACAACGCTGGATGTGCTACTCCACGAATGATTATGCTCTTCTCTCTTAAAAATTCTTCAACTAAAGGATAAACTTCCAATCCCAATATGTTGTGATTACCAACAAGTAAGACAGGTCCTTCATCTGGAACTCCAGCAAGACCTCTCACTATCTTCCCATCTTCCAATGTTGAGAGCATTACGGAAGCAGTATATGGGCGTAATAACCTGACATTCATGTATTTCAGTATCAGCTCTGGCCCCAAATCAACAAATATGTTAATGGATGCAACTTAGCGGGGTCCGGGTTAGGTGCAAGTGAAACCCATACATGATGCAATTATACTGCAAATACATTTTGGAACTAACATGCCTGGAAATCTGCAACACAGAATACGAAACAAACAAATGTAAGAAGAGTATGAAGTGTTGAACTGAATTACCCGAATTGTTCATCACATGTATGTTTGAATTCCCACATACTAGGAGGAAGAAAATCTGAGACATAATCATGCTTCCTAGAACGACGGTATTTGTATGTGCCTTTTATAACCGACATCAAATTAACGCCATCTTCCTGTAATATGACAATAGAGCACATCCAATCACATTAGCGTCTTCACAAGTCAATGGCATCCAAAAAGGTAAAGCTTATATTACACAGGAACAGCAAAGTATAGCAAAATTTACATCAAAGCAAACAAAATTGTTGTCACAGTAATAGTGTCTAGTGTCCATTGTCAAATGGGAAATTGATATCCCAAGAGAGTTCTTGAAGCCAAAACTCAATCTTTATTCTTTAACTAGAGATTTTATCCGACTTGGGAATTAATAAAAGGTGTCGAGTTCAAGGAACAGATTCAACAATATTCAAGAAAAGAAATAAAACTGTGTACTAAATTCATATCCAGAAATGCACCTTGGTTATTAATTTAAAGTTAATGTTATTAACCATTATCCAACAGACAAATTGAAGCCAACTTAAAGATAAAATTCACCATCATCAGTCCAATGTGTTGCACACTTACATCTACGCGGTTTAAACAAAATCATTAAGGGCATCAATTTCGCAATGTGATAAACACGTCATTACACTTGTCATCGATGATGACAGCTAACAGAAAATTCAGTAGCATTGCACCAGACTTGAAATATGCAGACATATTTTAACTTACTAGTAATAGAGTATGTCCATTGTCATTGCAGTGTCGTACTGTACAATTCTGTAATGAACGTGCCAGTCGCTCTGCTTCATCTCGACTTGGAACCATGTTATCTTTGCCACTGAAATGCCAACACATGATTTTTACTATAAAAAATTAAAAAATCAAATGTATATACAATTTTACAATGATCATTTTTAATGCGAACGAGAGAGAACCACAATGAGTATAGTGAATATTAACCTAGCCAACACTAGCACTTCAGCTTTAACAGCATGGAGACGGGAATTTGCATAAGCAGCAGCTGACTTGAGCAGCTTCAGCTTCCAAAGAAGAGTGTCCCTCGGTATAATATCAGCCAAAGACTGAGATGGAAATGATAGAAGTAAGTAAATATTGAAAATAAGGTAGAATCCACTCATGTAGACATTTCAATGAAGTTCAAGAAAAGGAATTGAAAGCACTTCTTACAGAGAGATATGGTAGCAAATCAGTCAAATTGCGTGACATTTGTGTCAACTTTAAACTGGAAGGAAGTCTATTTTCTATGTTAACCGTCGCCATTTTTGTTGGATCACCTGATGGAAAGAAGGTTAAAGTCGTGACATCAGAATTCTTGTATTTGGCAGTGGAAAACGTAGGGGCTTGAAACTGCAAACAGTTGTTTCTGACCATGACACCACACGAAACTTTCCAGGAAAACTAACATCCAAAAGTTCTTAAAACTGCTTCCAACAAATACACATGGCTCCCAATCAACTTAACATTCAATACAAGATAATGCAATTTACCGACATATAAAAAAAATTAACAACGGGAAAAGTACAACAAAAGCTTCCAAAACAATTCTTTAGTTCAACCATCCGCAAACTTATCTTTCAAATCATAAAACCTATTAATATAATGCTATTATGCTAATAACCCAATTCTCTAGGAAACCAACAAAAATGAGTTTTCTTGTGAACTGAAAAACATAATCTTATTGACCTCACCAAATTCCAAATATAAAGTACCATATTCTCTTTTACTCCTAGATTAACAATTGATAGTAAAATTCATTTTAGTTACTGGGCTTCTAATTAAAAAATTCCTGATTGTATTGATCCGATTTGTTCCCGTGATAAGCTATAGTCTAAATACTCTCATTAGCATTTCAGATTGTAAGAAAATTGAGACTCGAATTCATTGGCTGCGACACAACAAGACTTGCAACAAGACAACATCAAGTATTTATATCATTCATTTTAGTCAAGGGAAAATAATGGATGTCGTATCCCTGGATTGGCAGCACCCCAAGAGAATAAGCGTTCCACATATCATAGTAACACAGTTAACTGAGACTGTGAGTGTACCAGGCTCTCTAAAAGAGTCTTCTTCAAGGATTGAAAGCACAGCCAAGGGCCAAATTAGAAATGACTTATCTCACTTCAGCATAAATGTTTTTGTTAATTAGATTTCAGAGCAACAAATCACGTACCCATAACAAAGCTAAGTAGATAGGGAACAGCAATATGTAATTCATCAGGCATAGCAGCCAAGATTGGGAACAGAGGTTGCAGTGGAGACCTTTCAACCGATGTAGCTAAAATAAAAAAACACCAAAACGTCAGACTGAGTTGGTGTGTTCATGACATGCCATTAGCATAACAAAAATACATGTTGAATAAAATTGGACTGCACAACTTATAACCAACCTGGATTGACCAGTGTCAGTACTAAATCAATGGTAGGATTACGTGCAGCAACGGCAAGTGACAGGCATCCTCCAAAGGAATCTCCTACCAAGTAAATTGGCTTGTTTGGAGATGAAGCATGCTCAAGCCTTATAGTTTCTTCGACAAATTTCACCAGCCCTTAACATATGAAACCAAACTAAATTATTGATTAAGAGTGACATGTTATCAAGTAAAGAAAAACAAAACTGATATTTCATACATATATAAAGAATTTCAAATGGTGTTATCATGATTAAGACCTTCAAATGGTGTCCGATCATTAACAGGAATATGCAGGCATCGAACTTCAAAAGCCCTGCGTTTTTTCAACGAATTATATATCAGAAGCTGCTAGAAATAGTTTACCACCAATTTCAGAGCTAAAACCTGATTTTTAGCGATACCATATTTCTCAAACAAGGACAACCATTTATTTGAGTGGAATTTCGCCACAAGCCATAGTTTTTTCTTTAAAACTGAAGATAAAAGTTATCCTACTTCCCAAGATCCTAACAAAATTTTGTAAACTACAACAAAATAAATAATTTGAAAAACTTACTTCCCAAGAGCTTTATGGTGCAAAATGAGGCCCCATCCAGTACCATCCAGCCCTGTATATGCATAATACATAAATTATTATACAACATTCTGCACTACAGAACTTCACTCGCTAAGAAACATAACAAACACATTTTACTCAGATTTATGTTGTTTAGCTATTCTACTCATAGATATATCTTTTGTATGCAAATCACAGTGCCAACATCAGCAACCAACTTATGATTTATCATCTTTGGCAAGGCAACAATTACCAGGCAAAAACAAAAGAATCGGAGAATCCTTCAGTGGACGCCCGCACTCAATGGGAGAAAACCACCGGGGAGGTCCACCATCAGGCTTAATCATCTCCTTGTTTGCATGAAAATAATCTTTTACAGTGACAGTCCCATACCCATCATCGTACAAAGGTTTCAAACTTTCAAGACCACCACCATCCTCCACCCTCTTCTCCTCCTTAACCTTAAGCCTCAAACTCTCATTCCCTCTATCAATCACAGACCTCCTTTCCTCCCTCTCCTCGATTACGGAAGCACAATTCAAAACAACAGATTCGGATGACAACCCCGGTGAATCCTTACCACCTAAACTCTTAACCTGCAGTACACAAGTCCGAAGCTTATTCTCCGAATTCAACACGAAAAAATGAGGACCCGGAAAGCCTATAACTGATGCCATGGCTTCAAGCAAAATGCAAAAGATTATAGACCCTTGTCTCAAACACTCACAAAATTCAGAAACTTTGGAACTCTTTAAATAAAAACCTAGCAGTTGGGAACACCTTAACACAATGAACAAAACCTGCCCAATTCAGTTGGACATTCCCTTAAACCACTCTAACAGACACAATCATGCATTTAGCACAACACAGACCGTAGGGGACACTAAAAAATGGGCACAAAATTGAAACTTGAAGCAGACACAGATAAACTACAGGAAGATATAGCCTGTGAAACACGTAAAGTCTCAACTTTCATCTAATTTAGCATTAATTGGCAACAAATATGGTGAAAAAAAGATGCTAAAAAGCCATGTGAACAAAACCCAGCAAATTTTTTTGGTGCAGAAAAATAAGGAAATAATATTATTGAGTGATAATCTGGATTGTACCTGGGAGAGGCAGGTTGTCTGCCCTGTACCCGATGTGGGTCTGAGTGGCCGACCCAAATAATTGAATTTTGTCCTTTGTTATTTTGCTCTCGTTGATATTTGGCCACATGCGTCATCTGACGCTGTGGCGTTTGCAGTAAGTAATGGTGGCGAGTTACATGAAAACGACGAGTTACAATCTTACCAGTTAGTGGGGAAGTGGCACTGTCATTGCCAAATGGAGACAACAATATGAAAGGGGATGGGGTGGGTGGGCTCTGTGCAGGAAAAGATCTTTTCGAAGATCTTTACTTTATTGAGATCAAGAAAAAAAAAAAAAAAAAAAAGTTTTAACAAAAGAGCTTGGTACTATTCATTCTTAACCATAAAGACATTTTATGTATGAAAAGTCTATAATAGATCAAACTCTTCTCTTTATTTACTTTTATGCCATTACATGCTGACCACAACGATGTTGACATTTCTGTCTGGAAATACATTATGATGCTATTCATCTTATGCTAATTTACAGCTAGTTCTTCAGGCTTCCATCATGTTGTCGATGTTATGCAGCTCTTCTTCTGACAAATTATTCCAATACTGTTCATCGCCTTCTACTAGCTCCGCATCTCTTTCTCTATCTTCTTTCACCTTGTAATATATTCCCGCTGTTTCTTCTTTGAAATTTTGGGGCTTCCAATAAGGCTGATGACTGATTCTTGTCTTGCTGTAAATATACATCTCTTCTTCTTCTACTAGTACCATATCATACCTAAAATCTTCAAACTCATCTAAAGCAAACATTTGGATCCCTCTAAATTTTAAAATATCTTTGTATGAAGGAGTCCACCTATGTGAGGAGATAGGGTTTAGTCTAAAGGACTCTTCATTGATCATGGCTATATGCCTAGCTTTCTCCTTATGCATGTGTACATACCAATCTGGATGACTACTAATAAAACTTATGCAAATTTCTTTCCACCTTTCTAGATAGTCTTCTGCTACTTTAATAAGCTTTTCAGGAAATGATTCTAGTTGAGAAATACGATTAATAAATATTTTATCGAGATAACCAAACTCTAATAGTAAGGCAGGGGTGACTTCTACCTCATTATGCTTTTTCTGATGCTCATAACTAAAATGCCATGATTTAAAATCTCTCATGTCAATCCTGACCACAGCTACGCTAACTTCTGGTTTACAAATACAATTCTTTGTACTATCACAAAGACATGGAGGATACATCTTTGTAATAATATCCATCCCTAGTTTTGGATCAAAGATGGACTGATACAAGGCGCATTGTAATTGTAACTCTTTCATGGACTGTGATGCTCTGCTCAGGATCTCAATTTGCATATTTGTTGGCATTATTCTTAGTTTTGCTTTTGAAATTTCTTCTAATAAAACATCGTCTAATATTAAGTCTGAAGATATATTTCTAAGAAAACTTTCATATTTTTCTTGTTTTTCTTTGTCACTCAGAACCTGATGCTGATCATTACTTTGATGTTGCTCCATTTCAACGTCTTCTTCTAAGAGCTCAATCTTAATTTCTTCTATGGGTTCATTAGCCTCTTGTTCTATGGGTTCAATAACCTCTTTTCCTTTATGCTGATCAATTTCTAAACCTATTTTTAATTCTCTTTTCAAGGTGTCACTTGCCTTTTGCTGCATTCTAAGAGATTGAAGTTCTTGGTTCATTTTGGTAAACTTACCAAGTAATGACTCATGGTCCCTAGAAATGACTTGAAGATTGTGCTCAAGAGAAAAATATGCTGCTGGTTTTGGTGGAAATTAAAATTAAAGCTATCAAACTCTTGTTCCAAGGCTCTAATTAATTTTTCATGACCTAACCTCATGCTTTGCTGCTTAATTTGGATATTCCAGAAATTATCTAAGAGAACCTGCTGCCTATCAGAAAGCCCCGGTACCCTTGACCTGTATCTCAGAGTTGGATTTCTGATTCCTTCAACAATATTGCCATTAAAGTTGAACGTGGGTACTGGTGGTGATGCTGGTCTGCTCATGCTATTTTGAAATCCACTGAATGGTGGAGGTTGATGGTGCATCATCATGCCATTGAAAGAAACTCTTCTGCCTTGCGGCCTTGTGCTATTTGTTGATGATGGTCCACGATATTCCATACCTGTTCAACAAATTAATATTGATAAGATATCAGCTAATGTATTGTCATTACCTTTTATATGTTTCAAAAATTGGTTTAAAACCATTTCCTGTAATTGAATCAACAAAATTAACCCATCTTCGGGCTGCCTGTTTATTAGCATGTATCTTGTTATAATGAGAAAATATATTTTGACAATCTGTTCTAATCGTAAATACTTCATTATGTAAAAATAAAGAAAATGCTTCAAGTGAATTAATTATCCCTAAAATTTCTAAATCTGTTGATGGTAACCTTGACTGTACATCACTAAATTTTCCTGAGGAATATCTACAAACTTGTTCGTCAGACTTTGGAGACTCCCTATGCCTTTTCTGGTATAGTATACATGCCCATCCTAATGATGAAGCATCTGTTTCGACTATCTTGTAACTATCATCTAATGGTAATGTTAATGGCTTAAGTTTAGTAATTTTCTTCTTTTATTTTTTTGAACTAATTTAATATCTTCACTATTAAAATATTTTTGTCCCGTTTTGCTAGTTTTACTATGTAATACTGCTATTTTTCTTCCTAAATCAGGGATAAAATTTCTTGCATAATTTAGCAATCCTAAAAATGCTTGTAACTGTTTCTTATCTTCTAATTTATCTGGAAATTCTAACACCTTTTTAGCTATATGATCTTGTAATTGGATTGTACCTGACTTGATATACATTCCTAAAAATTCTATATCTTGCTTTTCTAATGTTATTTTATTTTTGCTAATTACAATTCCATTATTGATAAATTCTTGTAATACTATCTCTAAATGCTTCCTATGTTCATTTTTATTTTTACTATGTACTAAAATATCATCTACATAAACACTACAAAAATTATCATATTTCTTGAAAATTTGGTCCATCTTTCTTTGAAAGATTGATGGAGCATTTTTAAGTCCAAATGGCATAACGAGCCATTCAAAATGTCCTTCTGGACAAGTAAAGGCTGTCCACTCAATTGATTCTTCTGCTAATCTTATTTGCCAAAAACCTGATTTACAATCAAATTTGCTAAAATATTTACTCTCTTGAATTTTGTTTATAAGCTCATCCTTATTTGGTAATTTATAACTATCTTCGTATGTATTATCATTTAATCTCTTATAATTATAAACTATTCTAGCCTTACCTCTTTTTAATTCCGAATGTTTTCTTACAATAAATGCTGCTGATCTATGTCTAGACTTAGATGGTCTAATTACTTTTAAATTTAACAACTCTTTTATTTGCTGCTCAAACTCTTGTTTATCTATTAGACTACAAGGCATATCAGCCGTCTTAATGGTTAAATCTGGGTTAATTATATCTAATTTTGCTAGTATTTTATTGCTCCAATGTAACTGTGGGTCTTCTCCTATAATCCTAGTTTGTTCTGCTAATTGTCACAATTCTTCTAAACTCTTTGGTCTGTCTAACTGTAATATTTCTATACAGGTTCCTTTTTCTAAAATCGGGTATTCATGTTCAAAGATGTCTTCATCAAACTCTTCTACGTTATTATGCTCATCATTTTCTTTTGAGTTTTCTAAATGATAACTATCTTGGCCACTAGTCTCTTCTATACTTATGTTTTTGTATGCTTCTACAGTATTACTTTGATCAGTTATTGTAATGCCTCTCTTGAAAAATGTTATGTTAGGGTTCATAAATAAAAAACCTTGCAAACTTTTCAAAAAGTTTAATCCTAAAATAAATGGATATGATCCTACTGGTGAAACAAATGTTAATGGTAAATTAAATTGTTGTTTTTCTACTTTAATAAACTCATTATTTATACAATGTGTTAAGTAAATTGGTCTCTCATCAAATTGTGTTATTCTTACTGGTTTTGCTAATTTTTGTCTATATTTTTCTGGTACTAACTCTTCTTTTATGACACTCTTTGTACTCCCTGTATCTATCATAGCTATGGTTTGTATCTTATGTTCTTTTGCTAATTCTATTTCGCAATTTATAGTGATTAAGGAACTACTTTTTGGTTTTTCTATACTATGAACAATATTTCCTAATATTTCAGATTCTGCTGAATTAATTTCTAATAACCTATTACTATAACATTTTTCACATAATATTGAGTATGTATTGTAGTATTTATTTGCAACTAATTTATTACACTTATGACATTTTTCTGGCCAACCTAAATTAATGTATTTATATTCTTCTTCATGCTGTTCTTCTATGAATGCACACATATATTCTTCTAGATCACTATTTGTGCTACTTGAATCTTCCGAATCTGAATCTATCATGTTAATACTTTCTATACTATAAATACTCTCATTATCACTTAAATTATCTAAACTGTATATTGACTGAATATCTTCATCTTCTTCTAATTTAAACAACTCCATCAAATGTACTTTTTCTTTCGACTGTTTACCTAATTTTGGACATTTAGGTCTAATATGTCCAGTTTCTCCACATGAATAACATTTACAACTACTCTTATCTTTTGGTGCTTTATATTTCCTAATCCAAGGTCTGCCACTTCTTTTTCTAAATTGTTTTGGAATATATTTTCTCTTCCTATATGTTCTTGAAGGTTTTATACTGAAATTCTTATGTTGTTTGTAGGGTTTATATGACTTATATTTCTTTTTGTACATTTTCTTATGCTTATTTTTCTTATGGCAACCATACTGTTGTGGTAAATCTATATTTTTACAACTCATGTAAAATTGCTTCCTAATTTGTCTCTTAGCCTTTATTTGACTACACTCTTGTCTAAGTATATCATATACATGTTGAATTCTAGGTCCTATAGCAATATCATTTTTCTTCGAATGCTTTTGCCATTCATTCCAAATCTTTTCACCTATTGGTCCT